TTCTACCAGTAACCTAGTTCATCAGTTTGTAGCTTCACATAACAAAAGTAATTTTTGTTACAGGTTTTTCAATCACGTTTGTTTTTGTGTGAAGATGAACTACATGTACCAGACCTTTCTTATCTGCAAAGGTTGTTATGATTTTTCAGAATACCCAAGAACCTCGAGGTTTTTACATTGGGATCTAACCATGACAACATCTCCAGGCACAAAACAACTTTTTCTTTTTATCCATTTCTGTCATTCTTGTAGCAGTGGTAAATATTCTCAAATCCACAGTTTCCTTAGAGGTCTGTAATGTACTGGATTTGTTCCCACCTTCTTTTCTGTCAAATAGAACACCTCCCACCTCTGCATGAGAGCAGCTCGTTCAGCAGTACTTTTACACCCACAGTGTAGGAAGGAGCGTTACTGCAGGTCATTCTTACCAGCAGCTGTCAGATTCTAACCAGGGGTGCACATAACTTTTTAGTGAGCTACTCAGGTGAGTCCCAGGACGGCTTTTAGTACGCATTGAAAACGCTCTATTGCAGATATGCTAGGAGCGACTTCTTAGAACGGGCTCATTGAAAGCAGCATGGTTAAGACCTTGGAGACGCTTACAGCTGCCCTGAAGACTCAGAATAACACCTCCGAGTGTATACTGGGTTACATCAAGGAGAGGCGTGCTCAAAATGACACCTTCTAGCAAAAGTTGGATCACATCGCAGAACAGCTCACTGCAGTTGTGAGTTCTCAGAATCGGCTATCTGAGCAAAAGAATGACAACACCACGGAACGGAAGTTTGATACCATCATGGGGAGGCTCTCCAACGGGAGATTGAGAGACCAGTGTCGGAGTGTTAAAGAACAGCTTTGAAATTCTCCTGAGCTTTTCGCATAAAAGAAAAATCAACATCATAATGCGGCTACCTCCTCGGTGCCAGCTGTGGGGTCGAGGCTGGAGCCGAACAAAAACACCCTGATAACGACTGTGTGTTGACTGTTCTTCCCACTCCATGCAAGGCCACCTGGGTTGGCTGGCAGACTGTTTACTTAGCCTGATAGGGCAGAGGACACTGTCTCAGCTGAACTCTGGACACACATACACTAACACTAATAAGCACTCACTCATTCCCTCTCCCTTTCCAAATGCCTTCGATGCTTGTCCTCTCCTGGAGAACACGGCGGGTCTGGGTCCACGCTGGAATAATAGCGCAGGGCAGGATGACTGCTGTGTTTCCTTCGGATTAGTCCTCACCCTCTACCCAACCCTGTGGCTTCTCATGTGTTCCATAATGTTGTACTGTGGACATTTATGTGCTTTTCTGTGCAGAGGAGTTTTTTTGTTTCCTGTTCTCATGCTGTCCTCTATAGGAGCCCAGCACGAGTAGAGGTCTCTTTTTCCTCTTCTACTTTCCCATTGTTGTGTACTTTTTCCGTGTTTTTCTGTAACGCTGCCGATCTCCGACCTGTATTCCCATGTGATGTCTGTGTTGTGTGTGTAAGTCGGGGGGGGGGTCTATTCCACTGCGGGGCAACCTGCATGTTGCCAATAAAGCCTTGATTCATTCATTCATTCATCCCTCTGGGCTCCACACAGCAATACTACACATGAGGGAGGTATGCCCTCAGGTGTCGGTGCGTTGGTGGTTCTTGGTGTCCGGGGCTGGGCGCTCTGATATATACCAGATCACTCCCGGTGGCTGCTCAGCAGGGCCTGGGTCTGGGGCTTGGTCAGGCCTCTTCTGGGGAGTGCGGGGACCCTTAGGTTTACTCTGGCACAGCTGGATGCCGGCAGAGCTGGCGGGCACGCTACTGCAGCCCCTTCTGGCTTCTGTGGCCGCTGGGTGACCCCTCGTCTGGGAATCCTCAGCTCTTCCCAGAGGGTGGCACGGATGCCCCTCCAGTGGTCCTCCTTGGGCTCTCACACTCTGGGGCCTCTGGATGTCTGGGGCCTGGATCTTCTCCATGCCTGGAGAAACCTTTTGAAAACAAGCGCGTTGATCCACACAGGTGCTCACTGTTCATAGACAAACTAAATCTTTCTTGGCTGTTACATCAGGTTGACTGTCACTTCAGTCTTTACTCTGAAATACAGGAAGTGAAATCAAGGCTCAAACTGCTTCTTAATTTAACATTTTAAACTTTTATTTAATTGTTGCAGAATTTCACAACACCAACAACCTTAACAAGAAAACATCTGCAGAACACATTTTTAAATATATTCAATAAAAACTTGATAACACGACAAAAGATTTCTTCATTCAACTGCTAGAACAAAGCGAACCACTCGACATGAACACTGAAGCAGAACAGTTTAGAAAGCTTAAAATGTGACGAGCAGAACATTTTCATTCATAGCTGCCTCATCAGAACAATGTTTGTCACAGTTGGATATTCAACTGCAATTTCAAGAATTCTCTCCTTCAGGTTGTTGACCATATCCTTAGGAAAGCAGAGGACTTAAGAGTTCTTACTACACATGCTTTGTACATCCTTTACGGCAGAGTCACCCACAATCAGAGTTTCAGGCCTTAGCCTTTAGCTTTCCCTGTGGTCTTCTACTTTTCAACAGATTTTCAGACCTTACTTCGCTGCTTTTAGATGGATGGTTGTCCGATATAGATCCAGGGTCCTTTGATAGTGGAGCAAATCTGTTCTGCAGTTTCACATTCAGTTGTTTTGGAGGTTTGTTGTTAACCATCCTATTCACGGTTGTCCAGTCCTGTTTCCTCCCGTATACAGGGGTAGAAGAGCTTCTCTGTCTCGTAGGAAGTGAAGGCCAGTCGGTTTCAGAGATTTCAGCTCGCTGTGCCCTGCCTGTGATACGTCCTCCCCCTTTCTTGAGACATGATTTGTGTCTTGGTTTTAAGACGCGCATAAAGGGGGGGATTATCGCTTGAGGATTTATTATAATGCGGTTAGCACCTTTCCAGGCTATTGAGGCTGTTCGGTGCCCAGACGCTGTAATCAGGCTTTAGCTGTGTCTAGACCACAGACACACGGAGCGCTGAAGATACGGTAACTATAAAAATGTTGCTGTTTCTGTTAAGAACGCTTTAGTCCTAATGATCTATAAGTTTCCAGAAGCTATCGCAGGTAAGCTCATACGGAAAAAAGGGAAAAACCAGCATAAAAATCAATAAAAATCAATAAAAGAAGCAAAACATTTAAAGAGCAAAGACAGGAAGCGTCCACACTCACAAAAGGGGGAGAAGGAGATTCTATCTGAACTCTGTGGAGCCTGATCTCAAGGGTTTTCAGTCTCTGTTCTTTCTCTCTCTTCTGATTCACTGTGATCCAGTGATGGGAATGATTTCAGCCCTTCATGATCCTGCAGATGTTTGCAGAGAGCAGAATATGAAGTGAATGTTTTAGCACACTGGTAACAGTGAAACCGTTCATTTGCCACATGAGATTCCTGAAGCTCTTGTCACACTGGTCACAGCTATAGTTCTTTTTTTAATGTGTAGCTTCATGAAGGTTACGATTACCTGAATGTGAGAAGCTTTTGTCACAGTGTCTGCACTTGTATGGTTTCTCTCCTGTGTGGACTCGCTTGTGCCTTTTAAGTTGACTTGTACTGATGAACGATGACCCACACTGATCACAGAGGTGCTTTTTAACCCCACTGTGAATGAGTTCATGGCGTTTTAATGTACTTGGAGTGGGGAAGCCTTTCCCACATTTGTTGCAGTAGTTCAGTTTGTGTCTAGTGTGTCTTCGCTGGTGTGTTTTGAGGCTTGTTTGCTGACTGAACATTTTTCCACAAAAGTCACAAAAAAATTCTTTCCCGCCACCACAGCAACGACAGAGTTGAGAACTGCATCCATCTGTGTCGCTCTGCTTCTAAACAAAGACACAAACACAGTGTCAGTCAGTCACTTCAACATTTTTATCCTCAACGTTGCCTGAAATAAAGAGCATCTCTGCAGATGTCCAATTACATTTTACTGTTTAGAGCGCAGGTGTCGAACTCCAGGCCTTAGATGTGTCCTTGATCCAAATCAGGGGAGTTTGACACCCCTGATTTGGATCATAGCACTTACCTTACTGAACTACTATAACTAAAATTATACAAAAAAGTATATATTCAAGAGGCACACGCGCTTAACTTAATGTTACCCCAAATTTGTATCCAGAACAGAATTTTGTTTGACTCACTAAATAAAGAATGAAGACTAATATAGTGCTTTAAAGCTGGCAGATGAACAGTGTTGGGCAAATTACTTTGAAAAAGTAATTAATTATAGTTACTAGTTACTTCTTCAAAAAAGTAACTGAGTTAGTAACTGAGTTACAATATTCTAAAAGTAATTAATTACTTGAAAAGTAACTATTGCATTACTTAAACAAACAAACAAAAAAACGTTTAACCCTCTGGGGTCCAGGGTATAATTGGCCATTTTTTCTAACTTTTGATTTTACCTCCACATTTCACCTTGAAAAACTTTGCCTTGTTTGGTATAATCCTTTTCAGCACAACCTCGCGTGTCTGAATTTACAGTTATGTTTTCATTTTGACATAATGTATTAACACAACTGATCAAAAATCAGACAAAAAACATAAAATCAGAGTAGAAAAAGTGATTTTTTACTGTAACAACCACAAACATGTTTAATGAATCATATTTCATAACTTTAAATGCAAATATAAATTGTCAATTTTAAAATCATACGCACAAGTTTTGCAAACAACAAAGTTATTTGCATCCATTTACCTTTTATCTTGATTTTTTAAATAACCACTTCAAACTATTTACAGAACAATCAGCTGTTCTTCAATAAGATGCCACACAAAATATTTGTGCCACTCCAAAAATTTCTGTCCACTATAAAGGAAACATCACAGCCTGATACCTGCAGGTCTGACAGCAGGTGTATCACTCCTGTTTCTACCTGGAGACAGTAGTCACCTCATTGTTCTGACACACAACACAAAACTATCCACAACACTACACACTAACTACACAAGACAACACATTAACTACACACTCCAAACACGCTAAACATCACAAATCTCTCACGACTCAAAACTCACTCTTTCTTTTTCTGCTTGTAACGCCGTTATTCCCATCACTGCAGATGACACATTGGAAACTAAAGCAAAAGCTTCTTACTATTTTGTGTCACCTTGACTTTTGACCTAGGACCTTGATGCATTACATAGTAAAATTGTGTATTTTATTATCTTTACCATATAATTGGAGAAGTATTGGCTCAAGACTTTTGCCAAGCTGTAAAAACTTCCAGTCTCCCAATAGGATGAGTCCACAGGGGGAGCACCCTCCAGCACCCCAACCACGGACTCCAAGAAGGCTGAACACTTTAAACCACAGTTGTTGAAATCCAGGGCTCGATGGGTGGTGTCCTGCAGGTTTTAGATGTGTTCTTGATACAACACAGCTGATTTCAATGGCTAAATTACTTCAACATGTCTTGAAGTGTTTACCGTAACAGTAAACACAGCCAGAATTCATACATAAAGTACACCGGATTATAAGACGCACTGGCGATTTTTGAGAAAATTAAAAAGAATTGTAAGTCTGACTTATAGTGCAGAAAATACGGTAATCACATAATTCATGTTATGGAAAACCTGCAGGGCACCAGCCCTCAAAGCCTTGAGTTCGACACCCATGCTTGAAGCTGCCAATCGGCCCATAAGCACAGACGACTGTCGGGACCTATTCAGTGACAAAGGAATAGGGAACAAACCCTCTCATTCTGGAGAAACTCCACCATACCGGCAGCAACCCGAAGGGATACTAAGGTACCCAGCCAAGGCCGACACCTCACACAAAGGGCAAATCCAGACTGGTTCCAAGCCCAAGCCTGACGTTCAGATGAGCCTGACTCTATGTAGCTGGTACCTCTGAACCAACTGCAATAACTAAGGCTCCTTTCTAACCAGAGAGGTGTTGTTCAATGTCCCAATCACTAGCCTGGGTAGCCGGGGATCAGTCCACCAGAGTGCACTAAACCCAAATGCAGTGTGGTGCCTCCTGCAGGTGGTGGGCCGTTCTTTGAGCTGTGGCCTGTTGGGTCCCAGCAACTAAGGCAGGGGTGGCCAACTCAAGGCCTCGAGAGCCGGTGTCCTGCAGGTTTTAGATGTGTCCTTGATCCATCACAGCTGATTTAAATGGCTAAATTACCTCCTCAACATTTCTTGAAGTTCTCCAGAGGCCTGGTAATGAACTAATCATTTGATTTAGGTGTGTTGACCCAGGGTGTTATCTAAAACCTGCAGGACACCAGCTCTCAAGACCTGGAGTTGGCCACCCCTGAACTAAGGCTTGGACGCCAGGTGCTAACGCTCAGGTACCCTCCCCAGGCCTCGGCCAGGGTGATGCCCCGGTAACCCTATCCCAGGGCAAGGTGAACTGTTCCCTAGATTTTTCTTTCACACAGGTTTTTTGAATCACTCTTTGCCTGTCCCTCAGTCAAGGACCAATTTGCCATGGGAGACTCTACCAACATAGCACCTGGGATCTCCAGGACACACAAAACCCTTCACCATGATAAGGTAGCAAATCATAGCGGAGGGTTTTCATATAAAAAAAAGAAAAGAAAGTGTGATGTACAGCTCTCTCCATGCCCTAGCATGTGATAAAATACTCAATATAGTTTCTTGAAACTTTAACCCTAGGCACAAAGAATGAAGGTCAAGTTCAAATGCTTAGCCAACCTAGATGCTCATGTCCTCCAAGGCCTAGTATTGTGGGTAATACAAATTGTGCACAATTTAAAGTTTTCACTGGTTTTCATGTTCGTTGTGACCATGACCCAATTTTTACAAAACTAAAACTTTTCAAGCAGTTATCAGTGTCTACCATCACACAAACTTTGAAAACGACATCATGAAAACTGTGGATGATACATTGGTGACAAACAGACAAACAAATAACCTGAATTGATTAGATACTCTGTCGCGAGAGGAGAGGAGAATACAAATACATACCTCACAGTAACTGCACTTGAAGAGTCTCTTTCTGGTGTGGATCTGTTGGTGTGCTTTCAGGGAATATGGAGCGTTAAAAGCTTTATCACACAGGTCACACTTATAGGGTCTCTCATCAGTGTGAGTAAATTTGTGGATTTGTAAATGTTTGTATGCTACAAATCGTTTGCCACACTGATCACAGCAGTACACATCCTGTCCCGTGTGAATCCGCTGGTGTTTGTTTCGATTCTCTATATGGCTGAAGGTTCTCCCACAGATGTCACAGCTGTATGCTTTAATTCCTGAGTGGGAAACTTGATGAATCCTTAAGTGGCTACCTTGAGTAAAACTTCTATCACACTGATCACAAGTGTATGCTTTAACTCCACTGTGGATGAGCTTATGCCTTTCTAAGCCTTGTTTCCATGTGAAACTTTTCCCACACTGATTACAGGTGTGTGCTTTAATTCCACTGTGGAGGCTTTGATGAGTTTTTAGGGCACTCTTTTGAGTAAAAGACTTTCCACACAAGTCACAATTGAATGCTTTAACACCACTGTGGATGAGTTGGTGTGTTTTTAAGTTTCCAGGCCGAGTAAAAGCCTTCCCACACTC